CGATTTTGGCCCATAACCGACCCAAATTAACCCACGCCCACCCCTAGTTTTAAAGATTGCAAATTGACCATTGACTGGTTCTTTTGTAAATAAATTGTTTTGGTTGTTCTAACATTAAAAGGGAAACAAAAGGACATTTGATTGTGGCCACAAGATTTACATTCAACGGTCACGATTAGTTTCAATCTTAACCTAGAAACCTACACCTAGAATTTGGAAACCATAGGGACTGATGACGCTCTTCTCCGCACTATATATATAAGGCAAAACGAGGTTCCTTTCAAAGCGGGCGTCCAGTCTATGAAAGAAAGGATTTGTGTTTTTGGATGCTTTTTATTGGTGCATTTATTACTTTACTTCCTTGCTTGAATTAATTTTGGCTAAGATTATAGTTTTTAATTTTTTGATTTGTGTTGCTTGTTGTATGTCTTGGTTCCAATTATATTCAATGGTTCTTAGTTCCAATTGTTCGCAATTACCTGCGAAGATGTACTTGGTGAAGAAAATCAGCTAATTCTACTTGCAGAGGCTAACATTAGAGCAAAGGGGTCGATCGCCCCACTGGTGGACTAGATCATGCTAATCCAGACAGCGATCTTCGAATTGAACTATTTTTGGACAAGAAACAACAATGGTTATGTTACTTCCACCTCTTACGATCCGGCGACCTTCGTATTAAGATCTCTAAAATGAACTTATTGTTATGTGCTACTGCTAGCTATCTTATTACTATCATCATGACACTTACGAGGCATAAAACATAAAATAAAATAAAAAATAATTGTGAATAGTAATAGCTCTTGTCCTTAGCTACTATGCTCAAACTGATGGACTTGCACAAATGCAATTATTATTCAAAGTGAATAATAAAGGCAATTTTGTTGCCCTGCCCTCGTAAAATAGGTATAGTATAAGAATATTCTCAAAAGTATGACTTTCAATAAACTTTTTATCACCGTATTTTTTTGGAACAATATTTTATAATATTGGCACATTCATAATATTAATTATGATGTGACAGATAGAAAACCCATTTTAAAAGAGTCTCTTTATAATTTCTCTACTTTAATTTCTTATCTTTCTTTTTTGAATTTCGTGCCCGCTAACTTCTAAGAAACTTCCAATAATTGAGTATAATTTATTTTTTAACAGACTTTTAGCTTCTAAGAAATAACGATTTTTTTTTTACAAATAAAATAAAAAGCAACATTATTTCGTTAAAATATTAATGGTTTGAGAATCACCACGTACTGCCTTGAATCTAATTATAAATAAATAGATTTATTTTGTTTTCTATGTAGATATTATTTGAGTATTGCATATTAAGTTTTTTTTTTTTTTTTTTTTTTTTTTTTGCCAAATTAGTCTTATCACTCTCACCATTTATCTACAAAAATCTATGCCCCTTGACAAAGAGAAAGAATCCACCATTCTCCCGATTAAGCTTTATTTGCCGTTGTGACAACTATGAGATAAATATGAAGTTTTTTTATAGTGTTCAACATCCAATGTGTCAAATATGAGAGAGTTTATAGGTAGTAATGCTAGTAGCAGCTTTTAACATGCTTTAGAAAGCTTTAAGTATTGACAACGCCAACACATTGACTTATTTAGAAATGTGAAATTTACCATTGTGTGGTACACATTCTACTCCTTGTAAAACCGCCAAAAGCTCTCCCTCAGTGAACCTCATGTCAGAATCAACCTCATCATCCACTAATAGAACAAAAAAGAATGTTTTGTTGTTTTCGGATTCATAACAGAAGTATTTTGTTATGAACACTTATGTTATTTTCATCAGAACACTTTTGTTATGACTCCGAAAACAAACATTCTTTTTTGTTCCATTTGTGGATGATGAGGTTGACTCTGACTTACTGAGAGGAGGAGCTTCTGGCAATTTTATAAGAAGTAGAACGTGAACCATCTGCACCATGGTAAATTTTACATTTTCAGATCAGTCAATGTGTAGGCCTTGTCGATACTTAAAAACTTTTTAAAGCATGTTGAAAGCTGCTACTGACATTATAACCTTTAAAACATTCCTCAAATTCAAAACCTTTGGTCGTTAAACACTATAAAAAAAAACCTCATATTTATCTCATAATTGTCACAAGTTTTGTAAATTAAGCTGAGTCGAGAGAACGGTGAGTTATTTCTCTTTGTCAAAGGGCGTTTTAATCGTTAGATGTTTGTATATATATAGTGAGAGTGATAAGACTATTTTGCAAAAAAAAATAAAAACTTAAATTATGCAATGCTCAAATAAGATATCCCTAGAAAACAAAATAAATAACTGTTTATTTATGATTAGGTTCAATGGAATATGTGGTTGTTCTCAAACCATTACTATTTCATCGAAACAAGGTTTTTTTTTTTTTTTTTTTTTTGGTAAAAAAATTCGTTATACTTTATAGAAATTGAGGGTCTATCCGAAAAATAAATGACTACTTATTTATTGGGAGTTTCTTTTGAAATTATAAAACATGAAATTCAAAAAACAAAGATAAGGAATTAAAATAGAGAGATTATAAAAAGACTCTCTTAAAATGAGACTCTCTATGAACTTTCTATCACCTTACAATTAATGTTACTTAATGTGCCAACATTATAAAACATTATGTCAAAAACATAAGGTGGTGAAAAGTTATATACGGAGAGTCACACTTTTGAGAGAGTTTTTCTAGAGCATCTCATCACTCTGAATAGTATATTTCTAGAGCAGCTTGTCTCTTGCAAGGAGTTTTTGGATACCAGTAAATTTATTTTATTTTATATAATTAACTTTTCATTTATTTTTAATTATAAATCTTATATGTATAAATATATTTTTATTGTTATTTTCGTCGGAAAGCTTTTGTTATGAATCTGAGAATAATAAAGCATTCTTTTTTTTTTGTTCCATTAGAGATTCATATTATAACAAAATGACCTTTTAAGTATTTTAAGAATACAAAAGAGGAGGGCACTTACAAGATAAACTCTTGAATGCAGAATCCCTTGAATCGATCCAAGGCTGATACAATCACCTTATTTGATTGAACAATTAATGACATAAGTGTGAGACATACCGAGCGATCACTCATTGCAACACTGTTTATATTACTTCCAATCTGATCTAGGGTCTGCCGCCTTGTGTTTGAGGTTTGATTCTGCAAGATGAACAAGCTCACAGAGGACGGAGTCACAGCAAACAACTGAAGGGCTTGACCGTCCACTCTGAACCCCAGTCCCGTAATTGAAGACTGGCTCTTGTCAGAATGGATTTCCACCTGAAGCTTGAACCGGGTGATTCGTTCTCGAGCAATATCCTCTTTAACGCAGTAAATTGAACCATTATGCAAGCCAATAGCTATAAGCATTATCGGACGTGCTTCCTCTAGTACTAAAAACGATGTAATCTGCTGTAATAAACAATGCTCGATTCAAAACCCTATCGTCTCTATCAAATTCAGGGGTTCACAAATTCCAATGAGCACAAATACTACCTTTGCTTGAGGAAATTGGTTAGTGAATATCCTCAATATTCCAATGCAATCAGGGCTTGTTGTGCTTGAGCTTGTGCCCTCGGACCGCATCCTATCCAGTTCGAAAACCTTGAGGCACATTGCCGATTGCTGCCGAGTAATTTGTTCATCTTCTCCAATTGTCACCAAATAGTTGCGTTGCTGATTTCACAACAACAAGAGCAAAATTAACACACTTTTCACCTCCTAATCAGTCTCTAAACAAATTAAAATCCTAATATTAAAACATCAAAAGTTTAATAAAAAATTGCTAATTATCCGTACTATTATATTCAAAGCTATTTTATCCAATTTCTCATCAACTTAAGTCACTTGACACATTTTAGACTGTAATACCATCATTTTCTTGCCTATAAGCCCTTAACATTTCATATGGGTTGCGAATCTAACGTCTAATTTACCCTCCAAAGTTAACTTCATACACTATTTATTTATGAAAAAATTTGAATCGACCCTATAACATGCAAGTAACGTGATTTGAATTGACAAAAAAATTGAATATAGTAGCTTTGAATCTTATATTAGGGATGTAATTGACAGATTTTTATAATTCAAGAATTGATTTTTCTGAAAAAATAGTTTAGGGTCATAATTTTCACTCAAGTGATAATTCAGAGACTAAATTGGTAGTTCACTCTTTTTTAAATTATAATTTGGATTTTTTTTGGTAAAATATAATGTAGATTGTTGTTCACTTGATGCTTATACTCTCAATTATGATGCTATATTAGAAAAATCAGTTTCTTTGTATTTTTCAAAAAACGTAATAGGTTATTTGTATATGATCATGTTTGGACATCTATGGAAATAGCAAAGTTTGTAAAAAAAAATAACACGAGGCCTTATATGTATATTCTCATCTCTACTTAGCACGAGGCCTTTTGGGAGCTCACTGGCTTCGGATTCCATAGTTAAGATAGTTCACGCGAGAGCAATCCCATGATGGGTGACGCACTGGAAAGTTCTCGTGTGAGTTTCCAGAAACAAAATCGTGAGGGTGTGGTTGGGGCCCAAAATGGACAATATCGTGCTACAATGGAGTCGAGCTCGGGCCGGCATACGACAATTTCGGTACTAACATTTAGGTACATTAAATAAAGTGCATATTAATTATTTTGAATTAAGGACACATCAAGTGATTATAATCAATATGTAATCTAACACTAAGGTTATTTTAAATTTCAATCTTCTTAAATGATTAAAGTTAAAAAACCTCGATCGTTGGAATTTAGGTATAAGGTCCCTCTCTTGTATATGTTTTTTTTATCAAGTAGTGTAATATAGAGGTGAGGGCCTATCCCCATCTTAATTACGTGGAGAGCTGTCAGCTAATTTATAGAACCGAACGCTTAGGTGGCTTGACATTATTGGCTCCCATCGCAACAGGTGGTGGGTCAGGAGTCTACCTCTCCAATCCCCTGTATAGATAGAAACTGCCAGAGGGTTAGGGTTTGCAGGAGGACATTACAATTTTCGTGTTTCAGGGAGGAAACAAATGAGGAACACTGATCACTCATTTGATATAATTGCTGCTTCCACAGTGACCGAGTCATGTACGGAGGCCGATCTCAATGAGCGAGGTGAATCGTTCAATCCGAATCCAGAAACGATCTTGATCAAGTATTTATTTAACAAGTTGGCCGGACGGGCAACGCCTGTGGAAGATGTGATCAGACACATTGACTCGCAAAAGGGCATGCCTCCAGATGCTAATCAAATTCCTCCAAGTAAGATTAACCCTCCCAAATGCAATTAAATAAACGAAGAACCACATCATACATCGACCTTGACATACTAAAAACTGATTCTTTCATTAATTTGGATTTGGAAAATGATCATTTTGACTAATTTTTTCATTAATTTTTTTAGAACAAACGATATTATCTATATCACAATATGTTAGTAATAATGTGGTTCAAATTCATTTTTACGAGAATCGAATATTTAGAGTTGGTTGTTTAATTATTTTTGTTTCTAGGTCTTTTCTGTCATGGAGGAGAAAACCGATCAGCATATTTCTACATATGTGCCGAGGTAGTTCTTGGTGATGTTAAAACAGAAAGGCCAACTTCTAATGGGTACTGGAAGCTGCTTAGTAACGAACAAGTGCACATTCAAACGTCCAGTGACAGTGATGACGATGCTGTAACTGTCGTTCTTGTTGGTAATGTACGGACGTGGAGGTATTATGGAAGGGAACTTAGGAGGCCCATGAGAACAGCGTCTGAGACGTGCTTTAAAATTCGGGAATACTACCTGAATCCAGAGCTTGAGCCTACAACGCTGATTGTGACGGGAGTATATCTTGGATGTTTTTCAAAAAATTGTGTGTTTGTGAATTCATAGATGAGGACTCAGAGTTGAGACTGAAACAGAAGTGCAAGGTAACCTCATTGGCTATAAGCGGAGGTGATCCGCTGTTTATCTTGCCGGGACATCTCCCTATCGGCCCTAGACTAATATGTGCACTGTTAGATGCTCCGAAGCCCCGAGTTGATCCTTTCGATACTTTGTTTGTCAGAGCACCTCCTCCCTCTCCTTCTTCTCCATGGAAGGAGGAGAGTGACGATGAATGGTGACTGACTTTTAGTTAATTTTGCACTCTAGTTTCTGTTATCATTATTTATTTTTTTATGGATTTTTACATTTCAGTTTGGATATCATTTTTAATCTATTAAGTTTGCATTCTAGAATGGATCAAAGTCGCCCTTCACGTTTGATACCAAAAATTAGTTTTGTCCTTGTCCCCTTGAGATTTGAGAACACAGTGCCATTTAAAAAGGAAGGGTAAACTGTCGGTTTACCCCCTGAACTTTCACCTCACTTTCGATTTCCCCCCTGAACTTTTCTATAGGAAAATTAAGGACTCAAACTAATTTTTTTAGCCAATTTGCCCCCTACCGTTAGTTTTTCATATATTTCATCCATATTTCCGTTAAGTGAGACCATGTGCATAACATGTGAGGATAGTTAAGTCATTTCAATTTAAAAATGATTAAAAACTGAAAATAAATAATAATAATAATTTTCCCTCTATTTTTTCCCGCTAATTCCTATCCTCAATTTTAATTTTTCCTCTCATTCCTATGCATGAGAAATAACATATGGTGTTATTGTCTTCATAAGTAGCTAAGTTAATCTTTTTTTTGAAGCATGTACTACCATTTTTATTTTCTCTAACAAATTAATAATTTGACAAATGCTCATGGTGTTATTGTCTCCAAAGCAGTGCATTAATATAAGAAACATGTCCATAAAAAGACTAGGGTTTCTTATATTAATGCACTGCTTTGAAGACAATAGCACCATTAGCATTTGTCAAATTATTAATTTGTTAGAGAAAATAAAAATGGTGGACAATAACACCATATGTCATTTCTCATGCATAGGAATGAGAGGGAAAAATAAAATCGAGGATAGGAATTAGCGGGAAAAAATAGAGGGAAAGTTTTGCTTTTTTTATTATTTTCAGTTTTTTAATCATTTTTAAGAGTGAAATAACTTAACTACCCTCACATGTTGTGCACATGATCTCACTTAACGGAAATATGGATGAAATATATGAAAAACTAACGGTAGGGGGCAAATTGGCTAAAAAAATTAGTTTGAGTCCTTAATTTTCCAATGGAAAAGTTCAGGGGGGAAATCAAAAGTGAGGTGAAAGTTCAGGGGGTTAACCGACAGTTTACTCTAAAAAGGAAATGACTATAAACGAGGACTGAGGACTAAAGAAATCACTAGCCTTTCCAATTTCCATAATCACAATGCCATTTACACTCTGTTTGGATAAAGAAATTTAAGATTACTAAAAATTTTAAAATGACGGAATTTTATTTTATAGAAATTGTGAATTTTTTTGTTTGGTTAACTTAAAAAAACATGAAAATGAATATGAAATTTGTTATTTTCAAACTCTCAATCATAGAAATTAAGAAACGACGCCTATTTATGTCACAGCCTATTTATGTCACAGCCCGTCCCGGAGGTACTTTTGACGGGAATGTGAAATGACGGAATTACCCTTGACGAGTATTAAGGTATGTGTGTGTGGCTTGTTATTTGGACTAAGTAAATACTTCCTAAACTATTGGATTAAAAGTTACATGTATTTTTTTGGTTAGGGAGTTAAATAAAATGGATGGTGATGACTTGGGATGAACCACACATGTCAAACCTCTCTCTTTCTTCCTTCGAAACCGTACGGACCAAAGCACCAAATCCCTCAAAACTTCATGGATTGAAGTGGAGATTAGCATCATTGTATTCGTGAGTGTCCTACGAACTCAAATATACCATTTTCAGGTAAGAAACCCTTCGTTTTCACGTTGAAAACTCGAGTTCCAATTTGGGTACTATTCATGAACTTTTTTTTGGTTGATTTTTAGGACAATCCAAGCTCACAGTGAACTTAGTGAGGTCCTAAGAAAGCTCGGAGTGCTTCGTTTGAAGGTTTTGGACGTCGGGATCATTGGGTTCGACTTTGGCCGGTTTTCTTGGAATTTCTACGGTGAGATTTCGTGATTTTTAGAGCCTTAAAGTAGTATAGCGTGAAACTACATGTTTAGGGTTTCATTTTGATATAAAATTCGAAGAAAATGGTTGAGAAACGAGGGAGAACAAGGCAATTGAAAATTGCCCAGTTTTCCGGCCACCGGAAAACACAGCCCGGCGAGCTCGCGAGGAAGAAGACGCGCATGGGCGCGCGTGTACCCGTGCTTGTCCTTGGCGCGTGGGGGCGCGTGACAAGCCCAAAATTAATTCTAAAAATTTGTCGACGTTCGCGACGTCGAGTAGGTCACTGTGGTATATTCATATACCCAATTTGAGCACCGTATGAGAAGTTATTGAGAATTGTTGGTTATATGCTTTAAATACATTTTTATAGTATTCACCGCAGCGGCCCGCGCGGCGGCGCGTGGCCAATGGCCGCCAATGTCATTCTTAGCATGTGTTTAAGGTTCTAGGTTCAGTTTTGATAATTAATTGACGTAAATTGAGTAATTGAACCTAAGTTGGTTACTGTGGATGCAAATTTCTTCCTCCTCGATCTTGGACGATTTTGCACCTACAAAACAATTAACACCTTAGGTTAAGGCCAAGAGCCTCACGCGCCCACGATGAATGGGGGGGCTTTGGCCGAAGAACCTCCGATGCCAAAGTTAGAATTTAGAGAGAAAGAGTGTTTAGAGAATTTTGGGATTTTTGCCAAAGTGTTGGAATTGATTCTTTGATGAGAATAGGTGCCTATTTATAGAGTTAGGAGGTGGCTAGGGTTTTTAGGTTTAATTAGCCAATTTATTTGGCTATTTAAACATAAAATGAATGTTTTGGTGGTTTTTGGAATTAATTGGCTAGTTAATTAGGGTAATTAAAAAGGGAAAATGGTGGAAAAGGTAGAGAATATGATAGGCTCTTTTTGGATGGGAATGGCCGGACCTTGGTGTGATTTTGGGGTGATTTGGTGATATAAATAGCCTTTAATATATTGATTATATTAATTGGTTGAGGATGTTATGGAATGTTTGAAATAAATGGCTAATTGAATAAGGAAAAAATGAGGTAAAAACATATATGAAATAGGTTTTGAATTGTTACCCATTTTGGGTACTCCTGACTTGGTTGATGGATGATTCTCCACTGCTCGCGTGTAGGAGACCCGGTATGCCTCGAGGGTATTTTTGTCCTATTTTGTCCAAAAATCCACGTGTCGTCTAGTGAATATTTTTGGCTCCACAAATGCCCCCACACCTGTTGGGCTGCTCGTAGGAAAGGGCAGCAGGTGTAGAGATCTTCTTGCTTTAGGAAACGTAGGATTGCTTCTTATTTTGATATTGATTCTCTCTTTAATTGGAAATTAGGCCCTTCTAGGAAAGGGAAATAAACTTCACTCAAAGTCTATTTAAGTCCAACTTAAGTGGGTTATTAAATCAACTTTGGAGAGCAATTTATTCTACCCCACAAGAGAGAGAAAGTTAGAGGATATTTGTTCCCCCTCCTCTAGCAATCTTCTACATCTTGCCCGTGCAAAGGACCGTCTTTCGTTGATTTCTTCATCTTCTCCGTGCCGCACCGATGTAAGAAAAATTTAATTTTTCTTGCCTTCTTCTTGGATTAGTGCTATTGCGGGGCAGCCGTCGGGGTGGTGCAATACGTCGGCTGGCAGGGGCCAGGAGTTGGCTCGGCATGGGCCGAAGAGATGTCATGGCAAGGACCACTGCTTGGGCAGGCTTAGCTTGGCTTGAGCCAAGGGCAGCTTGTGCGGCTGGGGTCGCGGATTGTGGCGCTGGGGCGCAGTGCTAGGCGAGCCGCATGGCTCATGTCCTTTGGGCTCTTGGACTTGACTCAGGCCAGGCTGGTGATTGAGAGAAATGAGGAGATTGTGGGCCTCATGGGTTGCTGGAATGTTGGGTATGCATGCATTCTGCCTGCTGGAATGCTGGTTGAGCTCCCCTGCTGAGTACCATAAATGTCGTTGGCTGCTTAGTCCTCTTCGCTGAGAGAAATGTGGGCTGCTCCCGAAAGAGGAGGTGAGTAGAATCAAGGCAGATGCATTGGCTCATCCAATCACTGTTGTGGAACTTGCTACAAGTGAAGGTAGGAAAAAGGATCTTCCCTGCCTGCTCAAGAGATGCCGGCTGAGAAAAAACCAAAGGCTTCTTTCGCTCGCACGGGTTCGCCGACTGCCTTCAAGCTTGTGATTGACTTGACTTTTTCCAAGGGGACGAAAAATGAGGCTGATAGATCTGAGCATGTGGCGCATTTGGAGAGGTTTGCTATTATGAAGAGCGATAAGGTTGACTCTGCTGCTAAAGTGGCGTCAAGGCCTATTCCTTATGTTGTTGAGACTAATTCGCCTGCTGGGAATGAGGAGACTGCTCACGTAGGCAGCTGTGAGAAATCCATTAAGCCTGCTTATGGGGAGGCCGCTGAGATCTATGTGCTTTTGAAACCAGATCTCTTGAAAACATGGATGCTTGTGCGAAGTTTGTTGATGGCGTTAGAAATGTGTTTGCCCAAGCTCGTTTGCGAAGCATACGACCCAATTATAGAATGACTTCTCTACTTGCTATGATGCAGATATAGCAAGGCTACTAAGGAGACGGCAAATACTATGGCAAATTCTGAGCTCGTTGCTTTGAAGGGGTCTCATATGTCTGCCCCCACTCCTTTGCAGCTTGGGACCGTTCGCCAAAAGATCGTTGACTTGAAGACTAGGCTTGACGCGATCCAAGTTAAGCATGAAAGTGCATAGAAGGAGATTGGATGTTACATACCTCAGATTCAAGATCTTGAGTTTGCAGTTTCTGAGCTTCGTTTCGCTGCTTATGCTAAGAAGGTAGTGGATGAGCTGCAGCGCTTCCGTGTTAGTCTGCTTAAGAAGAATGAGCAGCTGAAGGGTGAGAATGATGGGCTTGAGGTTTTAAGATCTTCTCTATTTCTCCGGAAGACTTGCTTGCTTTTACTTTTAAGGCTTCCATTGGTGAAGTAGTTGGAGAAGTTAGTGCCCAGGCTGGGCAGTCGGGGGTGAAGCACCGGATGATGCCGCTGCTAAGAGCGTTACGGCTGCTAAAGGTGTAGCGACCGAGTAGTCGTGGGATGTCCAAGCTGGTGTAGTGTAGTATTCTATGTAGCCTTTAGGATTTTCTTTGTTTTTCCTTGTAGCTCTTGTTTTTCTTGAACTCATTCGGCATTTGCTAGTTGTTTATAAACATGTTTTCCTTCATCTTCGCTTCTTTTGTT